TTTTATTCTGTTACCCAGGTTGGAGTCCAGTGGCACAATCACAGCTTACTGTAGCCTTGACCTCCCAGGCTCAAGCAATCTTCTTACCTTAACCTCCTAAGTAGCTAAGACTGTAGTTGCACTCTACCACACCTAATTTTTGTATTTTTTGCAGATAGTGGGATTTTGCCATGTTGCCCATGCTGCCATTAACTTAATTTGTAGTCCTAAGGTTAAAAACAAGAAAGAGAAACTTCATTATGTTACTTCTGTTCAATGAAGCCAGTGACTAGAAATGTGAAAAGGTGTCCTGGTGCAGTGGCTCATGCCTGTAATCCCAGCACTTTGGGAGGTTGATGCGAGTGGATCACCTGAGGTTAGGAGTTCGAGACCAGCCTGGCCAACATGGAAAACGCTGTCTCTACTAAAAATACAAAAAATTACTGAGCGTGGTGGTGGGTGCCTGTAATCCCAGCTACTCGAGAGGCTGAGGCAGGAGAATTGCTTGAACCTGGGAGGCAGAGGTTACAGTGAGCCAAGGTCATGTCATTTGCACTCCAGCCTGGGCAACAAGAGCGAAACTCCACCTCAAAAAAAAAAGAAAAGAAATATGAAAAGGCAGGCATTAAAACACTAGTTGTATTTGTTTATAAATAATTTTACATAGCCTGATATATAAGGAAACAGTGGAAAATGTGAAAATAAAAGATCAGGCTGGGTGTGGTGGCTCATGCCTGTAATTTCAGCACTTTGGGAGGCTGAGGCAGGCGGATCACCTGAGGTCAGCAGTTCGAGACCAACCTGGCCAACATGTTGAAATCCCATCTCTACTAAAAATACAAAAATTAGCCGGGCATGGTGGTGAGCACCTGTAATCCCAGCTACTCGAGAGGCTGAGTCAGGAGAATCGCTTGAGCCCAGAGGCTCTAGAGGTTGCAGTGTGGAGATCATGCCACTGCACTCCAGCCTGGGTGACAGAGTGAGACTTTATCTCAAAAAAAAAAAAAAAAAAAAAAATCAAGTGGCTGGGCACAGTGTTTTATGCCTATAATCCCAGTGCTTTGGGAGGCTGTGACAGGAGGATCCCTTGAGCCTGGGAGTTGGAGATTGCAGTGAGCTATGATTGCTACAGTGCTCCAGCCTGGGCATCAGAGTGAGACCTCACCTCTAAAAAATTAAGAGAGATCAGAAATTATGAACTGATAGTTTATAGTAATTTTTGCTACAGTTTGTCATCTTTCAATTGAATAATTTCGTTATCCAAAGGAGAACATTTTGTTATTAAAAAGTATTGTTTTCCTGCAATTGCCAGCACATCCAGATGGGTAAAACTAATTAAGATTGTGATTGTTTTGTTGTTTCAGAACACCGAAAAGCTTTGGAGGATTTCACTCTTGAAAATATTCTTTCCCATATTTATTATTTTCGCTGTCGTGACTACACAGAGTTACTGGCACAAGTTTATCTTCTTCCAGCTTTCCTTTCAGAACAGTCAAAGGTATGAGTCAGACTACTCAAATGTAACTAACCAAGTATTTTTTGAGGTATCTGATAAGCATGAAAAAATAACCAACCAGTACAGTAGCATAAAATCAAAGTCAAAGCCAGTTGAGAAAATGTCTTCCTTCCTTGACATACAATTTATTTATTTTTGTTTTGTACCTATGTATATAGTGTATGCCCAGAGTAAGAGATTGAAATAATATAGAAAGAAGTTTCATTTCCAGTAATAGTGGGATAGCTATACTATACCTAGAAAGTATAGTATACCATAACTTGAAAGGTATAAAATGAAAAATAAAAACTTCCTTCTGCTACTGTTTCCGAGTGCCTTCCGCCAAAGTTGATCACTATTGGCCAGGTACAGTGGCTCATGGTTGTAATCCCAGCACTTTGGGAGGCCAAGGTGGGAGAATTACTTGAGCCCAGTAGTTCCAGACCAGCCTGGGCAACATAGTAACACATTGTCTCAGGCTGGGCGCTGTGGCTCAGGCCTATAATCCTAGCACTTTGGGAGGCCCAGGCGGGTAGATCATGAGGTCAAGAGATCAAGACCATCCTGGTCAACATGGTGAAACCCCGTCTCTACTGAAAATACAAAAATTAACTGTGCATGGTGGAGTATGCCTGTAGTCCCAGTTACTCGGGAGGCTGAGGCAGGAGAATTGCTTGAACCCAGGAGGTAGAGGTTGCGGTGAGCGGAGATCGTGCCATTGCACTCTAGCCTGGGTAACAAGCAGAACTCCGTCTCAA